TGAAACGAGTATATCATACTACGATAGATTTTTTAATGTGCCTTTTTCTGTGTTTTAAACGCATACTCTAAAGCAATGACTATATTTAAAAACCAATGCGATATTTTAAACGATACGTTCAAAAGGAAAAGTTCAACGACTATCTATTTTAACCTCATTTTGGGAAGGAATCTCCAATACATATTTTTCATTCTATCTTATATTTATTTTCTTGCATTATCCAGTCATGTCTCACTTTTTATATGGTCTTATTACTTATTAGTAGGGCAGCAGTACAGGAATTAGTCATCTTCTTTCACTTTTCACGTAAAACTGTTTTGTTCTAAAGATAAAGCAAATTCTTAAAAAAAATATTATTTTGACTAATATTTATTTTAATATCCGAAAGTAATTATTTCTTATTATCTCAAATTCAAAAAGACAGGTGAAAAACAGAAAACTGTTTTAAAATCATGCTTAAACAATATTTTAATCTTAAAAGTGTATCGAAGAAAATTTCTTAACTAATTAAATTAAAAAAAGAACTTTAAAACACCAGCAGTCAGACAATTTATTTTTTAAGACATAAAAACTGCATTAGCTACCTTTAACCTGGTTAAAAGGATCGGAATAAAGAATGAGTTAAAACAGAAATGAGATTAAATTTTTTTTCTAGAAGGGGTGAGGAAAGTTGAAATTTTCGAATGCTGTTATTATTTAATAAATAAATACCGAAGACTTTCAACCTAGAAATGAGTGAAAATGTTTTAGTTTTTTATTATTTTCAAACGCTAAATTTATTATAAGAAACTGAAGAAAGGAATAAAAGTTAAAGTTTGATGTTAAATCGTATTAATGAAAGCAAATTTAATTTATTCTGACTTCTCTTCTCAAAATTCATTTTTATAAATTTCGGAATTTTCAAAAAATCTACATACCAGTGTGAAAGAATTGAGACAAAAGTATAAAGTAAGGTTAATAAATAATGATGTAGTGCATCTGTTACGTTTTTATTTTTTTACCTTAATTTTTTTTGAGAATTTAAATTTTTATGCTTCATTGGGAACTAGAATAGCAAGAAAACTTTTTAAGGATTTTAGAAAAAAAAACGAAATTGACATTTTATTATTTTTATATTCTGTCATCAAATAAATCAAGTTCATTATTTTTATCGTTAATAAGTAAATGGATAAAAAAATGATTATGAACCAAACAATTGAACAAAAAAATATTAATATTTTGTATAACGTTAATGTCATCCCGTTTTAATGCTTAATTCTCATAATAGATATGCTAATTTGAAATCAAACATTAAAACTAAAAATAATTATCTGCATCCCCATCCCTACATTTTACCCTAATTTTATCTGGAATTTCTTTATAGTGCCCTAATTTAATGTGACGTCAGCGTAATTAAAAATAACTCTTTTAATAATTTACATATAAAATTTAAACTGTGACATTAACGTAACGTGACTTAAAATTTAAACTGTGACGCAGTGTGACACGTTCATCTCAAAATACAAAAGAAAACTAGAAAAATATCATGCATAATAAAGTACATTTTGAAAATTTTTAAAACTAAATTACATGTCAAGTTGTTTGAATATTTTCTTACATCTAAACGACGATAGTAATAAATAGCTTGAAATCGCCCAGATACATACAATTCACTTAAAAATTCGTTAAAAACTGCGTAATTAATATAAAAGAATTATTTGGACTCCCAAATGTTGAAGATTACCCACTAGCAATACCATTTCAAACAATACCATTTCTGTAATGAAATTTTACTTCACAAGCACCCGCAAAATTATTTCACTTTTTTTCAAAGCGAAACTTAAATTTTTTCATGTACGTTTTTAAACAAGTGTAGAAATTTCAAAATACGCAACTCATTAATTTTGATACAAAGCTATATTTCTTTAATATTTCTGAGCCAAACATTTATTTTAATAAGAACTCTGATACGTAATTATTAATAATTTAACAAACATTTTTAATAAAAGAAATCTATAGCAAGATTTTTATTTGCACAAAGCATTCAGATCACTTATTATTATTAGTGAGTTTTAATTCCTAGTTTGCTTGTTTATGTTCATAATTAATAGTTTATGAAATATTTTAATAAAAAAAATTATAACATAGTTTTTATTTGTACAAATTATTTATATCTCTTGTTAGTATGCTCCCTATGTTAATGAAAATTCATATATTCAAATTTAGCATAAATATTGCAATATAAAATTTGAATAATTTTTCTTTAATAAATTAAATTTTCTTTATTTTTAATTTGTTTTCTATGATTTCCAACTGTTTCAACTAAGGAAAAAATAAGTTTTACATAAATCTAAGAAGATAAATGGTTGAAAAACGCATTTTATCTGACATTAATTATAACATTAGGTAACTATCAATGTGACGTGCATATAAAAATAACTATTGAAATAGTTACAGATCGACGATCTTTACTAAGCGTTGATCAAAGGACTAAGAAAATAATATTGTTACAAATAAATACGCTCATGACATTGCTTAATACCCTGAAGAGAGTCACTCAGATAATCGAAGCTAAAAGCTTGAAACGAAAAAAAGAGATGCATAAAAAATCATTATTTTCTTAGTCAAGAAAATGTTATCTTTTTGGTCTTTGATAAATCAGCGGAAATATTAGAAATCTGTTCATAGTTTTAGTAAAATAAAATATTAAAATATAACAACATGACATAAACAGAGGCCCTTCAAATTATGCAAAAAACTGTTTGTAAAACATATGCAAAAAGACTGAAATAATTAAAGAAGACCAGTCAAGCGGCTGAAATACACTGCTACATATTATTACATTTATTGTTATGAATTTACGCAGCATTATATTTATTTTTAAAGAGTTCAATTTCTATTTTTCTAACTTATAAATTAGGTAACAAAATTCTAAAAAATAGTTGTTAAGATGTGATTGAAATAATTTTTTGAAAAAGATTTGAAAGTATGTACTCTTATATATTAACCCACAGACGGTTCTTCACGTAAAAAGTCTAATTTTAACCTGCAGTTTTGTTGTAGTTCATTTACGTCGCACTAGAGCTGCACAATGGGCTATTGGCGACGGTCTGGGAACTCCCTGAGGATGATCTGAAGACATGCCATCACACTTTTGATCCTCTGCAGAGGGGATGGCACCCCCGCTTAAGTAGCCCAACGACCTGCGCGCGAAGTCGAGCACTTTACGGTAGCACAGTTTAACGAGGACCAAGACCGCACACCCTTGGTCCCTACGCACACTGATCCTTGTGGATCACCCTACAGCACACTGACAGTAGCCAGTGATGCATGACTTCGGTGATCTGCTGGGAACCGTGTCTTAATGATCAGTCCACTGCGGAACTAACCTGCAGTTTTCTCCTCATAGCAAAACCAGTTTTTCCATGTTATTTGATAGGGAAATAAGGTATAGAGGAGAAACATTCTCCTAGTTTTGCCTATTTGCTGAACCGACAGAGGGTTAAATTATAGTGTCTAGTAATGCAAGTTTAGCTTTGTCTGACCTTTATATTTCCATAATGCCACACATAAACAAAGAAAATAAAAGCCTTCCTATGCTGAAGTTATACAAAGTTTTGAGAAGCATAAAATTAACCTAAACAAATTGGATGAATTAAGAAACATCTAGTTCAGTGAAATGTTCTAGTTCAGAAAATAAAAGGCAATCTATCGCAGTGTTCGTCAACCTTTAAACCAGTATCAGTCAGTGGATCAAATGCTACCAGGCAGCTCAAGGAACATTAAATTATTTCTATTTTATTTATGGTGGGAGTATCTCCCTCATGCTTTCCATGGACGAGAGGTTTCTGGTTAGTTGAGATAAATTCGCGCCAACAACACGCGTGTAATTTTAATTTATTTTGAAGGCTTGTTTCAATGCAATTAAACGATAATTATTTAATCAAAGAAATCTAAAGTAAATCTATCTAAAGTAAAGTATCTCAAAGAAATCAATCAATATCCCTCCCTCCCCCCTCAGCGGGCTGCGGTAAAAATATCAAACGTTAACCGGTCCGCTGCGATAAAAAAGTTGGAGAGCTTTGATCTATGGTAATCAAATGAAATGAAAGTGTATGAATGAAATTTCGAGGTTTAAAATGTCAAGTAAGATATTGACAAATTGACATTTTTATTTCGAAAGACAAAAAAAAAATAATGACAAGCGTCTCTGACAATGAACAATCACACATATAAAGTTCATTAAGAAATTTCCAGTGAAATTACGATAAAAATTACCGGCACTCCGGTTGCCAGCTTTTTTTAACCGTTAAATCCATTTTTACTGTAAAAATTTATCAGAGCAAAAAATCTAATCTTCTGTGATTTTTTCATTGATGCTTACTTTAAAGTCTCTGAATCAATATGACATATTGAATATTTTTTTTTGAAAAGATAAGAAAAATAATGAAAAATGTAGCTGATAATGAACAATCGAACGTATAAAGTTCATTAAAAAAAATTTCATTGAAATTACGGTAAAATGTATCGGCACTCCGGTTGCCAGCTTTTTTTTTTTACAGCCACATCAATTTTTACTGTAAAAGTTTAATAAAACAAAAAGTCTCATATTCTGTAATTTTTGCATTTATACTTACTGCAAAATCAATTAATCTTTGTAAATAGATAAACATTATTGCAAAAATTGCGTATAAAATTTAATACCGTTTCTAAGGACACTACATTCATGATGCCAGTACTCTTTACCGTAATTTGATACAGAATGTTTTGCTGTGTTATTGTTCGCGTCTTTTAAAATGGGATTTCAAATTTTCCCAGTTGGTTATAAAAAGTTTATCTGTGTTTAAGTAAATTCTAATAATTACTTTTTACAATTATAAAAATAAATAAAGATAGATGCATGAATGTTGAAAAACATATATAAAAGTATATAAATAAAAATTTAGAAAAAAGAGTAATATTCATTTCTGCATTAAAAATATTGTGTTTCAATTGAAATTTTAATAGAAAATGTCTCTTACTTGTCTTCGATTAGAAACATATTTTGACTAGAATCTATACAAGTTCCTTTTATTGAGAATGTGCTACCTTCGATTCTAATTGCCGATTGCCAGCCTTTTTGAAACCAAAGACCTGTTAATTTATTTGGAAAATGACAAACTGGAGCTGGAAAGGAAAAAAAATCTCTATTAGTAAGTTGCATGTGGCAATAAAAGAATTTATGCATTTCAGTTAATTTTTTACAAATTAATTTTATAGATTACATTTTACATATATAAAATAGAACTGCCCTCTTTGAGAAATGCTAGATTGATGCATCAAATTACCAAAAGCAAAGTTAAAATTTTAATTACTCGAGAAACCTTTAACCTTCAATGAGAAAAAAAGCATAGTAAAAATACAAGTATATTTTAAAATTAATCGTGTTTCTGGCTTTATGGAATGGCCAAAATTCTTAATAAATTTTACCTAACCACTGTAGAAATGATTTTGGTAGTAAAATTATCATTAAAAAATATTATTTTATTTTATGTGATAAAATTTTTGAAAAATGTAGTAAAATTTGGTAATTTTATCTTGATGCCTTAGAGCACGTCATAAAAACCATTTAATCTTTTAAATTTATTTTACAGTTTGGTATTTATTTTTATTAAATGTGAGGAAATATAATTGTGAAAAAAAAAATTTCTGTAAACCGACACGAACGAAGAAATTAACAATTGAATACTTTAAATAGCGTATATTTCGATTCTATTAACCTGAAACACGCTTCTTTTTTTACCAGAAATGTCATGACCATTCATTACCTCAAATATACCATTTTTTTTTACTCCGTGAATTTATACAGCATGAATAGTTTATAGTTAGCACTGATATCAATGCTTCTGCTTAATGCGTCCTTAGCACAAAAGCAGAAATTTAACCGATGGTGCTTGCGTAAAGGACGTAATACGTTGAAGAGCTGACGTCGACTCTCATTATCATCTATTTTTGTCAGAATTTAGCTCTCACACTCTTGCTGTGAAAGAATGTTGCCAGGATATTCTTTTACGGATGCAATATTGCGTGGTCAGAATTTTTGTCTTCCCATTAAACGTCACAACTTACATTCAAAATCATCCGGAATTTTTCAGAGTATGTCTTATTTTTATAACATGGAAAAACCACTTATTTAAATTTCAAAAAAGATATTGTAGTCTGACACTGTGAAGGTAAAAAAAATTATATTTTGAAATATCTGACGCTGATTTTTTCATACATTTCCTGAATTATACAGTTTAGACATGTATATAACATGTCTAAACTAAATAGTTTCTATCATTAATAATATATCTACAGGATTTACACTTGTCTTGGAAAATTGTGCAGACCTCACAAAACTCTAACTATTTATGAAACATATTATCAATTGATAAGCAAATTGAATAAGACCTAGTGCTCCGTAATTACATACATTTTTCCCTATTTTTTGCAACGCAAGAATTTTAGATTATTATATCCTATTGTGAGTAATATTATCTGAAGGACAGAAACTTCTAAATGCTTCAAAATTTTAAATATCCCTTAAAAGGCATGTATATTTAATTGTTACAAATTCAAAATCTGGGAATAGATAAGTTTTTGTTAAACGGAGTAGCATTTTTAGAAAAACAGTTAAAACATTCTCTGTTAATAAGTCATTTTATAAAATTTTGTAATCAAATCTAACGTATAACAGGTTTTGAATATATATTATTCAAAATGTCTAAGTTTACTGAGAAAAAAAGTATGGACAAAACTACCACAATATGGTAAAATTTACCGTGCTTCTGGCTTTATGGGAGCACAAAAATGCTCGGTAATTTTTAAGTGCTTTGGTTATGGTTTTTGATAAAATTAGCAGTAAAATAGGATTTTTTAATGCGTGATAGATTTTGGTATATGTGGAAAAAGATTTTATTTTAGTATGATACCTAAAATCATGATACCTTAAAAACCATTTATTTGGTTAAATTTACTTTTCAGTTTTGTATTTTTTACTAAATGATTAGTAATGAGAATTATAATTTTGAAAACCAGAATGTCTGGTTACCATAAGCACGGGGAAATTAACAAATGAATGATTAAAGTACCATAGATTTTGGTTTTTACAGGTTTTCTTTCAATCAAATTAGAATTACGTTTTTTTTTTTTTTAATCAAAAACGTCAAAACCCTTTTCAAAAACAACACTAACAGTTAAAAAAAATAATCCTTGGACTTTCGATGATTAATATTAATGTAATTAATTAAATAAATCATTTTCCCTTTAAATAGAAGATGATATATTATTAGTATTCATTTAGTTAATTCATACGGTTTATTAAAAATAATTTGCAATTATTTCAAACCACTCTCTGCAAATATTTTTTATGTAAAACATATTTATAAAATACTAAAGCATAATTGGTGTTTTCCCCATATTTAAAATAACTTCATATGGTGTAAATATATTATTTTAATTAATTTAATGCATTCGCTCTAATGTAGTTATAAAAATATGTATGATTTTATATTTCTCCCTTTTTGTCTGGGAAGGAATGAAATATATTTTAATCCTTAAATAAAAAGGAAAATAAATGATGGTAAATATAACAAAAAATATAAAATATATGTTTAATTGTGTAGAAATACTGCTCTAATTTTTTTTTATTTCAGTAGTCTTGCACTGTTGCTAATGCATTTCGAAATTAACTAGCTGACAAAATAATAATACTTTAAAGTGATGATAACTTGATGATAATAAACTATCAAAGCAGTTTGATATTGAGGAATGTAAAAGAAACTACAAAAGCTTCTTCTTAATAGGTTAGGTGTTCGTAAATTACTATCATAAATTACTCTTAAATCTGAGCTCAATTTTTATATGTCTTACTATCCTCCAGTGGGTAATTCAAAGTCTTTTGCGAACGATTTCAGAGAAAACTAATCTGAACATCTCTTATCTCTTGTCTACATAAGCTCATTGTCTCGCTGAATCATTTATAATAAATTCCATATTTAATTAAGTGGCTTAGACAAATGTGCTATTTTAAGCAATAATTATTCTGTCTGCATTCAAAAGCAGTATTTTAGAAGAAACTTTTAGCTTTTTAAGCTCTTTCCAGTGCCATTTGGGACTGTTGCCTTTGAAATAGTATTCATATTTATTAATGTTAAAGTAAGTGGATGTTTAAGAAAATATTCACTATAAATATTTAATTTTTAAACCATATCATATGAAGTCAATATTCTGAACGACAACTTATAAATCTAGAGAAAAGATTATGATTTCAATACATTCATATTTTACTGTTATAAAATCCTTATTAATAATTTTTAATTTATTACTACATTAAACTGACAAGTTTCAGAAAGCCTTATAGTTTAATTACGCCGAGTGTTTCAGTACAGCAATTGTAAGCTGGTGCAATTGAAGCTTAATATTTTTCTAATTTTTGTTAATTTTACCTTAGCTGTTAATTACTGTCAAAAATTAGGTTGAAAATTATTTTACTTTAAGTTATATTAAATATTCTAAGTTAAAGTAATGCGTGATTTATTGATATTATAGAATCTTAATCAGGAAACATAGTTTTAAAAGTAATATTCATACGAATCAAAACTATACGAATATAAAATTTTATAAAAATGTAAATTGTTATAAGTTGAAAAAGCAGTAACAATTAAATAAATTTAATAATCAATAAATAAATTTAGTTTCGAGTGTTTTTAGAATGTATATTGAAATGTTTAAAGGTAAAATTTGCGCGTTAAGTATAATTAAAACGTTTTAAATTTATATAAATGCATTAGTTAATATAAAAAATTATCAGAATTCCAAATAATTCAAGTTGAAAAATGTATATATATTTCAAGTAAATTTGAAATATTTAATTATGTAGGCTAGGATTATTCATAGCATAATAATAATTCATATCATAATTAATATTTTAAATAATAGTGCCTGTAATTTTTCAAAATATGTTCCAGTTATAGTTGTTAAAGTTTTCAAAATGTCCCTAAACGTTACAAACTAGGATTACAAAAATTACTTAAAAGACGTAGATGGGAACTGTTCAATATTAAGTTAGTTGTAGATTACTTATTATGGAAACTTTAAAAAAAATCCAAATGAGAGATAATATGAAGAAATCGGTGAAAGAGATAATATGAACTAAAATTGAACTTCCATGATTTAAGTATATAGTATACAGAATTAAACTATTACTGAAAGCATTTTTTGATCTTCCATGAATTAAATATAAACCAGGCAAATTTTAAGTATTACTGAAAGTATAATTTTATCTTTTATAACTGAAATATGAAACATACAAAATTAAACTATTACTAAAAGTATTATTCAATATTCTACGATTTAGATATAAACCATGCAAGTTTAAACTATTACTGAAAACATCATTTGATGACCTCTGACTTAAATATACGTCATTCAAAATTAAACCGTTACTAATAGTATCATTTGATCTTCTATCATCATTTGATCTGTTATGACTTAAATATATGCCATACAGAAGAAAAATATTACTGAAAGTATCGTTTGACCTCCTATGACTTAAATGTATAGCGTACACAATTAAAGCAATACTGAAAGTATCATTTGATCTCCTGTGACTAAAATATATAGCGTACAAAATTAACTTATTACTGAAAGTATCATTTTAAAAATATCTCTATCATTTATGTAAATAGATTATGAGATAAAGAAATATTATATTCCCAAGTGAAATGAATCTATTTGCAGTCATGAAGAGTATGAATATGATATATCAGGCCATTCGCAAAGCACTTATATTTTCCTCTGCTACGGCTAAAACTAACTACGCCTCTTTCTTTGCTTGAAGCAGAAAACGAGATTTTGCCATTCCGGTTCAGTTTGTTTTTCACTTGGGAAAACAAAGCGAAAGAGGCTTCTTTTTTGGCAGATGAGAAGAAGACCACTGAAGAGTTGGCATCACCAAGATGCAATCAAAAATAACAGTTCTTCTGAGTACGTGTTTTGAGCAGGCTAAACACTTTTTATGCTCCCTGAGCATCTACTGCTTTTTCTTCATCTTATCTATTTTTCCAAACACGTAAACGAAGAAAATCCCCACTAACAACAACAACAAATGTAATTGATAAATAAAATGAAAGTAGCTTCAAAAA